TTGGTAGTGAGGGGGGCTCCTCACTGTGACTCCGCCTCCCCCTACACAAGGAGTGGGGTTAATTAAAGCCATTTGTTAAAGACAGAAAGGGGGAGGGCACTGAAGACCCCTCCCCCTAAGCCTTGCAGGTCCAGTTATGGAGGAGAGCTCAGGGCCGCCAGCCCCCTGGAACTTAGTCCCAGAACGGGCAGCTTGGGGACATGCATCTTGGCTGAGGCACATGGGTGTCTGCTCAGGAGGACACCGTCTTCCTCCGGCAAGTGTGTGTGCAGAGAGGCACAGTGCTGGTGTCTCTGCCATGGCTGAGGGTCAGTGTGGCTTTGGGCTTTGTGTTTACTTCTTGGGTTTTTTATTTGAATTTATGGCTTTTTCTGAAACCCCTAATAACATGTTAAGTTTTCAGACTTAAGGGTTGACTGATGATTTGATTGAAAAAACCTGGGCTTGGGAGGCACTGCTCTCTCTGTGGCTGTGTGTGACCATGAATACGCAAGCACGTGCTCGAGTCCCCACCCCAGACCTGCCTCAGCAGCCATCCCAAGGCCCATTTCACAGCCTGCCCTTTGAAGTCCGCCTTTGACTTGGGATGTTTCCCCTTCTGTTGTCCTGGCTTGAGTGGACTCCTCTGCCCGGGCCTGCCTCAAGGGGGCAGCTTCTAGGCTCCTGGGTCAGCAGAGGGGACAATCATGCTCTCCTCAAGTGTGTGTCTGTTCTCAGAGTTTTCCCCTCCCCCCACCAGAAGCCCTGTCCTGCGGAAGGCTCTCCGCATCCTGGCCAGCTTGTAGTTATAAGAAGGGTTTGTTGTAAGCTCGGTGGACAGTGCTTGGCTAGTGTTAATGGCCAAGTACATTCAGAGCACTTAAATGTGATATAAGAAACCCTGAGGGGCAGGTGCTGGGACCGTTGGATGCTGGGGCGTAGAGTGTGACTTGCTGGCAGGGTCAGTGGTGAAGCCCTGGGGCTGTAGGTTCCACTCAGAACCTCTGGGTCCTCCTCCTCCACGACCTTGGCCTTTTTATCCAACTGGAGGAAAAAGAAAAATCCATGCTCAGTGAAGAACGCAGAGTTAGTAAAACTGCTCTTTCTTGCTCAGAAGCCCCCGCTGACTAGGGAGTCTCGAGTTTGCGTTGGGGTGTTTTTTGGTTTTGGGGGGTGGAGTTTTTTGCCCCAAGGAAAGCAAGCAGCTGCGAAATGCTTTTTCCTTCCGCTGAGCTTGAGTACACCCCCCCCATCAAAATGCAAAGTGAAACACCAAACGGGGCTCAAGAAAAAGCTACCAGAATCTGAAGTAATGACTTTAGCCCTTAAAAGCACCATGGCCAGAGGATGGACATCCTCCTGGCGGGAGACGCTCCTGTGGCTGGTGATGGAGTCCGGGGTGGCTGGGCCCAGCCTGGCCACGGGTGTGGAAGGTGGAGCTCAGCACTAACAGCAGGTGAGGGGGCCTCCCTGGGGTCTGCCTCTGCAGGCCGCCTTGTCACGGGCCCTGGTGGGCATCCTGCAGATGCCCCTGCTCCAGCCAGACCCAAGGCTGTATCTAATTGGGAGATCATTAAGATCATTATAATTAATTGGCATCCTGATAAATGGCATGATTGCCTAATTGGGGTGGTTGCTAGGGAACTAGGCCTCACTTGGAGCCTGGGGGGGGGGGGAAGATGCGCTGGGCTGGCTGCAGTTGGGCGTTAGGGTTACAGACCTGGCGGTTGGTGGGCAGGAAGCCAGGGCTCACCCGCCTCTGCTGGTGTTCACTGAGCAGCTGCTGCGTGCAAGTTGCGAATGGAATTGGAGGGGTATTTTCCTAGAAGGACTGTAGAGCAATCAGGATCCTTTCTCTTGGAAGCAACAGAAAGAAAAAAAAATCAAACCAGCTAAAAAAGCAGCAGCCTATGGGTTTTCATAACCCCCAAATCTAAGGGGACTCTGGCCCGAGAGCAGCTGGACGCAGGGCTCGGGTTTCTTGTGAGAACCGTTCCTCTCGTCTCTGTGCTGTGTTCACGCCTCTCCAGCTCCGAGGGCGGCAGGCTCTGGCAGCCACGGGCACGGTGGTTAGGACAGCCGGTCCTCCTGGCCACCTGCCCAGCAGTGAGACGGGGGCATGTGACCAGGCCTCTCTGGGCTCCAGCGTTCTCCCACAAATGACGCTGATCCTAGCACCCAGCCCCTGGTGTGTGGTAAAGGGTGACATGAGAGCATCAACGTCAAGTGCTAAGCACAGCGTCTGACAGGTGAACACTGGCGGTCGTCATAATGAAGGGCAAGACCCCTGCAACGGAGCTGCCCTCTCATCCCCTCTGGCTGATCCCAAAAGGAAAGAACAAACCTCTTTTCAGGTAGATCCCACTGAGCCCCCAGGTACCCCTCTTGTGCTATTGTCCTGTGCTCAGGCAAACCAGTGCCCACCCAAGGGAAGCCTGACAGGCATTTGGCTCGGGCCAGCCTCAGGCTCCACCCTGGGAAGCTCACTGCCGGGCCCCCAAAGCCTCAAGAACACAAGTGGGGGTCCTCGGTGGAAGGGAGCCCTGGTTTGGGGGGAAGCAAGTGACCACACTAACGTGAGCAGCCACAGTCAGAGGCACCTGTCTCCACCTCTGGCCCGGTGAGGACCCCGGGAGCACCTCCTTCCCCCCTCCACGAGGGTCCTCAGGCAGCAGAGGCCTGGCTCAGCTCTTCCACACATGACGGATGCAGCCTGGCCTTGACCCTGGGCGTGCCGAACCTCCCCGCCATGAGAAGCATCTTGACATATTTGCTTAAAAAATGCAGACTCCAGGTCCTTGGCCAGTCCCTGCTGAATCAGGCTCCCGGGGAGTGCGGGGAGTGCTCGGCACACCACGTGCCTCAGAAGGTCTGGGAAAGGGGCCCTGGAACAGGGTTTGCCTTCTGCTGCAGAAAGCCAGGAGCTGAGATATGTGGGGGTGCTTGATGGGCATCCCTCATCTTGAACTTGACGGCAGAACCCAAGAGGGCCTTCCAGTTACCCACGTGCTGGGCGGACATGTGCTGTAAGCCAGGCCCCGTGTCAGGCCCTGGGACTGTCAAGGGGGCCAGAAACAGGTCACAAGGAGACATGCCCACGGACAAGGTGGCCTCAGTGAAAAGCCCTACCGTGGAAACAGGGTGATAAACCATGATGGCACTGGGGGGACAGTGGCTGGGGACAGCTTAGGCAGATGGCCTCTCTGAGGAAGGTGACCTTTGGGCTGTGCCCTAAAGTTTAGGAAGGAGCTGACCTTGGGGGAATCTGGGGGGAGAGCTCTCCAGGTCGAGAGTGCAGCCAGGGTACGGCCCAGAGGTAGGAGGAGTCCATCTGGGTCGCTCAGAGGGGTTCTGGTAGGGAGCGGCAGGAAGGGAGAGGTGAGAAGTTTAGACTTTGTTTAAATGAAAGAGAAAGCCTTGGAGACTTGAAGTCCAGGGTGGCACGATGGGAGTTTCAAGGCGATCCTGTGGCTGCTGCCAGGCGGGTGCTTCTAGGCAGAGCTGGGACAGGGCCAGGTGTGTTAGCAGTGCACTGGGAGCCGACCGTGACCTGGGTGGTGGTGTCAGTGGAGACCCTGTGAACTGGGTGCACCGGGGCTATTTCTGGTGGGTCAAGTGCTCTCTGCCAAGGGTGATTTGCCCCGTGGGGCATGTGGAGCGGGGTCCGGAGGTGTTTTTGCCTGTCCACTGTGGGGGGCGCTGCTGGCCCCTGGTGGGTGAAACCCGGGGTTGAACACCCCAGTGCCCAGGAGGGGCTGCCCACACAGGAGTGGTCCAGTCCCCAGCCCGTCCCACAGCGCCAAGGAATCAGGTGATTGGCAGCCTGGTGGCTTGGGTCCCTAATGGGGAAACCAGGAAAGGGGACTTGGGGGAGGGGCCGAGCGGCCTGAGCCCGGGAAGTGTGGGCTCCGACTCTCCACCGTCCTCGGGAAGCTGTGGGTGGGGGATCTGGGGCCGCAGTCTGCCGAGTGGCTGGTGACCTGGATTTGGGAGTCGGTGCATATCCGTGTTATTTTAAGCCCCGGCTGGACGCGCTGGTCCAGGGGAATGCGTCGTGTTCCCGGCGTGGCGTTCCCCCCTCCACCCCCAGGGCCTCCCGGCATCTACCATGCATATTTTTGGCACGCCACATGCTCCCCTCAGACCCGTGCTCCCCTCCGACGGTGGAGAAGTCACTGAGGGCTCAGGCTGAGCCTCCCCTTGTCCGCAGCCTCTCTGCCCCATGATTAGCAGAGAAAACCAAACAGTGGGCACTCCGCAGGGCCCTTGGGAAATTGCCTGGGGGGAGGGTGGGCTCCCAGCCCGGCGG